AACAAATTCAATTGTTTTTTCATATAAAAAGGAATTCAATCCAAGTTTACGCTCATTCAAAAATCTGTTTTAGTCAATTTTAACGGATTAAAAATATTTTTTGAGGAAAGTTGTTTTTGAAAATCCCAAAGAAATGCCAAAAGGATTATCAGAAGTTTTATGAGCAAAAATTGTAACTTTGAGTGAAAAAGGATAGTCCACGAGAAAAATAGCACGCAGACTTGCTGTATCCTGTGTCATGGCCACGTTGCAGAGGTACAACTGCACGGATAATTTAGCTGAACAACCCCGCAGTCGTTGCCCAACTGTTCAGACTGCCGCTCTGAAGCGATAAATCAGATTGCTGGCAGCCTGGACTTGAAGCTAGCACTCAGACCATTCGGAATTGCTTACACCAGGCTGGACTGCGAGGACAGAGATCTTAACGGGCACCTCTGAAATCACGGCAACCTCAGCGATAGAGATTGCAGTGGGCTAGGCTCCAGCAAAATGAAGAAGATGAGGAGGAAACCACTTGGAAAAACTCACTCTCTTTGTTGACCAATCGCGAATCAGTACTCATTCAGATAACCGACGTGCTCATGTCTGGACAAGACCTGGATACTCTGAAAGGAAAAAAAACTGCCACTGGAACCATTCAACAAGGCGAGAAATCGGTGTCCTTTTGAGGTGGAATTTTGATCCATGACGGTAGAAAGCTACAAAATAGTTACTATTGATAGAATTGTCAGACCATTTCGAGTAAACCGTGGGCACCAATTTTTACTGGTCAATAAAAATGCGCCCGCACATCGAGCTCAATGAGTCAATGCTGCTCTCCGAGAATACATCACAAGGTTATATTTTCCTGCTGGCTCGCCTGATATAGGCCCAATAAAGCACGCGTGGGATGCTCTTAAGCGAGCTGTTAAGAATCGTCAGCCAACTGCCCAGGTAGTGCCAGAAATCAGGGATCCTCAGTATGCCCAGAAGGATATGCGCATGCGTTCAAGTCAGGGGAGGAGTTATATTGTATTAAATAAAAACCTTCTATTAATAAATTGTTGTATAAGTTTGGTTAAACAATCTATTTCTTTCCATCAAATTTCTGTTACAATATAGATTAGGATTGAATTACTCAAATTTTGTTATTAAAAAATAAAAAAGAGTTTTATTTTTTAATTTCAAACAGTGTATTTCTATTTAAAAAAAGACTTAACGCAAACACTTTTTCTTGATAAAGTAAAATTTAAAAAATATATTAGCTTTTGCTAGAGATCACAAACTTTTTGATATATATATATATGTCTACGAGTACATTTGAACTGGTTAATGTGCGAGATTGATCAAAGAAACCACTTTAATGTATAATTATTATTTTCTTTTATATATTTGTGAAACTCAACCAGATGAAAAAAATACATTTATACACGACAATAATAATTAAAACACAATTTAAAAAGTAAAAGCTTACTTCAAAGAAATGTCTTAGTGTGTAAAAGTATTCAAACCCTGACTTCTGAAGCTATAGCGGGATATATTTTATTATTTTTAGTTCTGAATAGTCGGCTTTTACATTTTATTTAAAACGTAACTTTTTGACTGAGACAGAAATATCAACGGCTCGTCGTCTAAATATTTACATTAAAACTTCATCCCCTATCCTTTTCAGCGATTTCCGGATTTAAAGTTTATATGGGACCCTCCCCTCTGAAGATAAAGAACAACCTCTGTACTACTGTATATCCTATTTCATAAAAGAAGCGTCATTAAAATCGTTCCGAAATGGACGAAGATATCAAGTAATATATATACAAACGAATGTATAGATATGTCTCGCGCGCAGCTACACCACGTCCCGCTGAACACCTTTGACTTAAAAGTAACGTAACTCTTAACATTGAGATAAAATAATCCTTGTGGAAATATTTATAGTAATATATCACCGCAATCTCAGAATAAATAAAATGTTAATACCATTTATTCTTTGGTTTGTACAGTGAGATAATGCAGTGACCGAAAGAGATAAAATAAGACGTGGGGAATTACGTAAATTAAAATATTTGTAAGAGATAAAATCAGCTGTCTGTTCCTCATAAGTATAGTTTTCTTTTTTTAATATAAATCTGAAGTGATAAACAAACTTATAGTTTACCTGATGGTAAGTGGCAACTGCAGTCCTAAGACGTCTGCAGCCAACTTCATACAAATGAGGCTAAAATGCTTTGTCACCCCAGAGGACTAATATGGAACGCCTCACAGCTTGTAACTATACTGCTCTCCTTATCCTTCATACCAAAATACAGCAATGCATGCACTTCTATGTGGTGACAGAAATAGTGTGAAAAGTGGGGGAAAGAATCTAGTGAATTATTTATTTAAAATATTTTTCATTCTTATTATTAAAAACTAACAACAAGTGCCAAAAGGTAACGTCATAAGAAAATACATTGATCCATTTCACCCGTGGCTGATAAAAACGTTACCCCCATACTAGGATTTTCTCCTGTAACGTGAAGGCAGTTTACAAATGTAAATTGCACGACGACAAACATCCAGACCCAGAACAATTATTTGTAGGCCATACAAATACTTGTTCTGTGCGGGATTCGAACCCGTGGCCCCCAGCGCACAAACTCATTGATAAGCGACTGCACCACGGAGCCGTCAGTTATGATTTACGGATGGCTCTTACTTACTTTGAAGAACACCTCCCACCTCCCTCAATTGCTTGTACTATCCCTGGCACCACCAATTCCAACACCACGACTCCCAATACCAATACACTGGAAAAGTCACAGGATCTTCGATAATACGGCATGTGTTTTGCCTCTAAACGAGGCGTCATCAACTAAAATAGACTCTGCGGTGTCCGCTAATATTATATTAGCTGATATCCGTGTAAAAGAAAATAATATGTTCCACCTAGTTTGAAGAGCAGGGAGGGAGAGGGGGTCCCTCGATTGTTTGCACTATATCCCAACACCACTAGGAAAGACACTTGACCGTCGATGATATAGCACGTATTTCGCCTCGTTACGAGGCATTAACAAAAAATAAATAAACTCTGCGACGGTTATTGCTTCGTGAATAACTAGCAGCTTAGAAAGTAAAAATGAATCGACAACCGATGGTGGCGAAGGATTCTCAATTGGGCCCTTCTATATAAACCTCCATTAGTCCTTTGGATGCGGGTGGCTCAGGGCCGTGTTTATTTATTTATTTATTTTAAAACAGTGTACATGCTGGCTTACAGTATGCCCAAAACGTCAGCATGCTAAGTTACAAATTACACTTTTAAATAATAAGTAATTGATTAAGATACATGTCCAAATAAAATAAAAAATAAAAATACATGCCAAATAGATAAAAAATTTGATGCCAAATTGAAGATTATATTATGTCAAATAGAGTAAACAAAATATCATTGTTAAATTAACTAAGCTAAGATTAAATTAATATATTACAATATGTCAAAATTGGATGTCAAAAATAGAAGGGCTTTATTACATAGTTCCCTAAAGCTATCAGCAAATAAGTCAGTCTCGTAATCATGTGCGAGCATATCTCCAATAAGCGCGATATAGCGCGAGTAGTAGACGCGTGAGCGCCGCACCTGGTGCGCGCCAGCGGCCGTCACAGAAGACGCGGCCGCCGCCGCGGTGCCACCGTCCCCTCACCATCATAGCCCAGCCGCTTCGGAGCCAATAACCACACTCTGCTTAATTTCGTCGGGCTATCTATTTTATTATGGATGATTGCTAGGTAGAATGTTATCAATTGCATAGTCCGCCTAAGTTTAAGAGTGTCCAAACCCACCATACCAGTAACAAATAAGGACGGATATAGATAGGGGTAATAACCGTAATTCTGCTTATATAGCCATGGTGCAAATTTGCGCTGTATTCTCTCTATTATCAAAATATATTTCTCCTCATAGGGATTCCATACAATGGCACCGTATTCAAGCTTAGTACGAACATATGCATTGTAAAGTACCAAAGCGACCCCTATTCCGTCGAACTGTGAAGAAGTGCGAATAATGAAGCCAAGCATTTTACTGGCCTTTTTACATACAGAAATCATATGGTTATGAAAGTCAAGTTTAGCATCTAATAATAATATTAAGTCCCGTATTTCGCTTACCCTTTCTAAGGGCGTGTCAGATAAATTATAGTCTTCATTTAGTGGACAGCGTTTACGCGTGAATGTTATTATTTTACATTTATTATCATTAAAGGGAAGACGACTTAATACGCTCCAATCCAAAACCGCACTGACGGCTCATTGTAATGCCTCGCAGTCAGACGGGCCATCTACACCTAGGCTTAATTTGAGATCATCCGCGAACAACAGACATTTTGAGGAAACCACGTTAGTCGGTAAGTCATTAATGAAAATAAGAAAAAGCAATGGCCCCCACGTACTTCCCTGACTTACCCCAGATCTTGTGTAAAGGTCACTAGACTCAAAGTGTTATATAGCATTCTTTGGGAGAGGCCTATGTTCAGCTGTTAACGTGTGAAGCGCTGTAATAATAAATAAAGAATCAATTTGTGATGATGATTATGATGATCTAGTTTGACGAAAATGCTAAGAATCAATTAGCGGTTATCCATTGCAGAGTCTACTTCTCCTGAAGATGCATCATTTAGAGGAGGAACAAGTGTCGTGCAAGTGTCATGTTATCAACCGTGGTGTGTCTTTGAGCGCACGCATCTTCCTTACATCCATGTGAAAACAGCAAAACTGAATTCAAAGTATCCTTAAACTGTGTTCGAAATTGGAATTTCTATTATCAGACCCATTACAACAACTTCCGAAGTTCAAAAGTTTTTTTATAAAGTAAAGTGTTTTATAAAGTTTATCTAACATATTTTTTTTATTTCCAGGTACTATTTCACAAACGCATCAGAATGGGAAACAGAATCAGTGAATATTTACACACAACGAGCAAGTTTTCGTTGACGAAAGAAATTAACATGACTTAATCCTGCATTATATGCAACAAAATGTGAAATATGAAAGTTGAAATTGTCTTGACTGACACACCAGAGAATATTACTTTAGACTTTAGAGATCTCTCCACTTCAATGTATCTCACTGACAGCTACTTAAACAAGTCGCTCGAAATTAACGAGACGACGAATGATTTCGTATACACCAACCAATTCGAAAACGATGCAATTATTGTCTTTTTAATTATTTTAAAATGTCTAATTATGCTCTTTATAATACTGGCCGCTATATTTGGCAATTTGCTAGTCATTGTGTCTGTTATGAGACACAGAAAGCTGCGCGTCATCACCAACTACTTTGTCGTCTCCCTTGCATTAGCGGATATGTTAGTTGCTATCTGGGCTATGTGTTTCAACTTTAGCGTTGAGATTACTAATGGAGAATGGCTATTTGGATACTTCATGTGCGACGTCTGGAATTCACTGGACGTCTACTTTTCTTCGGCGTCTATATTACATCTTTGTTGCATAAGCGTTGACAGATACTATGCAATCGTTCAACCATTAGACTACCCACTCATAATGACGAGCGGGAAATTGGGAATCATGCTCGCTGTCGTATGGTGCAGTCCAGCACTGGTGTCATTCCTTCCAATATTTGCAGGATGGTACACCACGCACGAGCACTTAGATTTTAGGAAAAGACACCCAAAAGTGTGCAGTTTTACTGTGAATAAAATATACGCGGTAATATCGAGCAGTGTCAGTTTCTGGATACCAGGAGTAATAATGCTCTTCATGTATTATAGAATTTACGTTGAAGCGGACCGACAAGAGAGAATGTTATACAGGTCAGTGAGCCATGCTTTTATTTGGAATATGTTCTTTTTCTTCTTTTTATTAGAGCGTAAAATTCCAGTGTATTCTGTGTAGTGGCGGTGTTAGAATACCCACTACTCCATATCATCCCGTGGGTATCGTAAGAGGTCACAGAGGGAAATAAACCAGAATATGGACAGCGTCTTTCAAATAACAAAAATAAAAATACAACAACTATAAAATATGAAAGAATTAATAAATTAAATATCTTATTTGCTGAACATATACGATACAAAATAAATAACTGCGGTTGCCAACCCGCAAGTCACGCGTGACGATTACTGTAAACCCTTATAACACTGGGAGAACAGTGGATATATTTTCGAGGAAAAATATAGAAGGTGGCGGAAAAAATATAAAAACATAAAATAGTATGTTTCAATCCTGTGCTAAGCTATGGCTCGTATATGATTATTTTAGATGCCTCACTCCTTTTATATCGGATCTCAACGAAAAAACACTTACCTACTATACTTTCGTCAAGTATAAAAAAAACTAAAATTATATTAAAAAGGTGATTATAATATTAATGTATTATTAATGGGAATAAGGTGATCGCTACAATGCTGTTTCTAATTTGTTTTGTGTAGTTAATTGTTGTATAACTTTAATGATTGGTAAACTGCTATTTTCTTCAAAAATCGTCCTATTGTGGTTCTTCCTGGTTCTTCTCAAGAAATAGGTATTTTCCCAAATATTGGTAAATTAAGCATCAGAGTGATTTTAAATAAGTATTATTTATAATATATATTGAATAAAGAAGTTTATTTTACTTTTGCTATAAGATATTTCTGGCTATTATTTAGGCTCCTCTAACGACACCCACAGGTCGAAAGAGAGCGATGACCTCTCTTACGCCCCCGCTACATGGCAAATATGTGAGCTATGTCTCGCAAGTCGTCGCGCAAGTGAAATTTTGGGAATATTAAATTTTTATTATTAACACTGATTCACATTTTATATAAATTAGTTTTATATTTTTAACAGTGGTAGAGCTACGCGGCAGCTTTTGCTGTCGCACGGATGGGCCAGCTCGAACCGGGGTGGTACCACGACCTCACAGAAAACCAGCGTGAAGTAGAGGTTTACCTCTGCGTTACGCTTGGTGAGTGCAGGTGACCGGAGGCCCTTTTTACTGGAAATGAGGCATTCCATCTTAGTCCTCACGGGTGACAACGCATCTACATTTTGATTTGTAATAGAGGATAGATGTAGATGTCTATGGGCCGCAACAACCACTTACCATCAGGTGGACTGTGTGCTCGTTTGTGACCCTTATCCTATAAAAAAAAAATATTCTCTCTAATCTAAAAGTATCGTGACAGTATTTTGCATAGTAAAATTTTATACCAACATAATGACACTATGATAATGATCTAGAGCAATAGAAACAGAAACAGAAACTTTTTTATTCAATATAGATTATAAATAATACTTATTGAAAGTTATTCTTTTGTTTGATTACCACTGGTTCGAAAAAAAACCTCTGTCCTGGAAATAACCAACGAGAAACCCAGCGGGACTTTTTTAAATAAAAGCTTACAATCATGTTTGTTACACAAATTAACAACACAACAAAATAAGAAATAGCTTGGTAGCGATCATCTCATTTCCAGGGGTTATTATCATCCATAAATTCTTTAATATTATAATAATCCTTTTTATACAAACTTAGTATAATAAAGTTTTTGAACTTTGAGCAGGTCAAATGTTGTATATTTTCTGGAATTTTGTTGTAAAAGCGTATACATTGCCCCAAGAATGAATTACTGACTCGATGGAGTCGAGTAATTGGTACTACTAGCTTGTGTCTGTTCCTAGTATTTACAGTATGAATATCCCTTATTTTTGTAAAATTACTTTTATTTTTGTATACGTACATTACATTTTCATAAATGTATTGAGAGGCCAAAGTTAATATATTAATTTCCTTAAATTTTTATTGCAGTGACTCTTTAGGCTTTAAATCATAAATTGCTCTTATGGCCCTCTTCTGTATAACAAATATAATTTCAGTGTCAACTGCGTGTCCCCATAGCAAAATACCATACGACATTATGCTATGGAAATAGCTAAAGTGAACTGGTCTAGCTGGTTAGACTTCTAATCTTTTTTACAGCATGTGCTGCAGAACTAAGTCTGCTTGCTAGTTTTGATATATGGGGGCTCCATTGAAGCATCGCGTCTAGTGTGATTCGAAGAAAAATGGTGGTATCTACAAGACTCAGTTTCTCCCCATTTAAAATTACATTTTTATTTAATTGTTTGACATTTGGAGTCATGAATTTCATACATTTCGTTTTAGTGCCATTTAAATGCAAATTATTAACATTGAACCAATTTACTAATTTAGATATAGCATTATTTACTTCGTCATATTTTAGTAATTGTCGACTTAATTTAAAAATTAAAGAAGTGTCATCTGCAAATAATACTATATCATGGTTATCATCTACTATACAAGGTAAGTCATTAATGTATACAAGAAACAGAAAGGGGCCGAGGATTGAGCCTTGAGGCACGCCCATTTGTACCAGCGACCCGGAAGAGCTCATACTGTTAATGACAACTTTTTGCGTTCTCTTACTTAAATATGAAATAATTAATTTAAGAGCATCACTTCTTACACCGTAGTGTTGAAGTTTCCTGATTAATGTTTCATGGTGAACACGATCGAAGGCCTTGGATAGGTCACAAAATATACCCAAAGCATCCTGTGAATTCTTCCATGCATTAAAGATATATTTAATCAGCTCAACACCGGCATCAGTTGTCCAGCGCCCCTTGAAACCAAATTGATTTTTATGAAGTAAATTATTTTTAACGGTGGTACAACCACGCGGCAAATTTCGCTGTTGAACGTATGGGCCGGCTCGAGCCGGGTTGGTAACACGACCCCACAGAATACTGGCGTGAAGTAGAAGCTCTGCTTCTGCGTCTTGTCTGGTGAGTGTAGGTGGCGAGAGGCCCAATTCCCTCCCCCCTCCATTAACATGATAGCGAAATAACACCAAAGACTACCCCAGGAGGGTACCAGCACCCCTGACGAATCCCTCGCTGAGCATCCACGATCATGTTCTTCCAATCCTGAGCGTGGGTGCTCAGGCCGCCCCGCGTATTCTGGGGGGGGGGGGGGGGGCAAAATTCCGCTCAAAAACATAACTGCTCGAGGCAAACTGAGAAACAATACCAAGGTGACCCCTGCCACGCTATCCGTAAATTTCTGCAACATCAGGGGACTTCACTCGAACCTAAACGCCGTCCACTACCATCTTGAGACGGCGAAGCCGGCCTTGCACTTTCTGACCGAGCCGCAGGTGTCCTCTCCGGCTGATACTTCGTATCTCTCCTACCCGGGGTACAAATTGGAGCACTCCTTTGTGCCTCGGGCTGAAGTTTGCGTGTATATCAGAGAGGACATCTGTTCTCGACGCCTCGGTAGTCTTGAAGGTTCGGACCTGTCCATCTTTTGGCTACGCGTAGACAGCGACGAACATCCGCGCGTCTACGGGTGCCTCTATAGGTCCCATAGCGGTAATGCCGAAACAGACCGACTCATCGACCACGTCCAAATGGCTACAGATTCCTTGCTACAACAGGTCCCGTCCGCAGAGATCGTGATCCTTGGCGATTTTAACGCCCACCACGCCGAATGGCTCGGTTCACGTTTAACCGATCATGCGGGGAGATCTGTTGACTTTGCCTTGGCATATGGTCTGACACAACTGGTTACTTCGCCTACCCGGATTCCAGATGTGAAGGATCATACACCTTCCCTGTTGAACCTTCTGCTGACCTCTCATCCGGACGGATATCAGGTTTCCGTCGATGCTCCTCTCAGCTCTTCGGACCATTGTCTGATCCGGAGTGTGGTGCCACTCACGCTTCTCTCGCGGTAGCGTTCTGCAGGTTGCCGCCGTGTTTGGCATTACAGGTCCACTGTAATGCCAAACACGGCGTTATTGGGCGGCGTTTACAAGGCGCAGGTTCGGCCTCACATGGAATACTGTTCCTATCTCTAGGCAGGTGCTCCCCAGTGCCAGCTCCATCCACTTGACCGCATCCAGCGCAGAGCGGCTCGAATCGTCGACGATCGAGTCCTTTCCGATCGGCTCAAATCTTTGGCACTGCGAAGAGATGTTGCTTCCCTTTGCATTTTCTTTCGCTTTCACCACGGGTAGTGCTCTGATGTATTGTTCGTAATAATCCCAGCCACCAAATTTCACGAACGCACATCGCGGCAGAACTCCCGATACCATCCACACCATCTGCGATTTAGAAGATGTTTTCTTCCTCGCACGACTTCCTTGTGGAATCGATTATCATTAGCGATTTTTCCGGACCGATACGACTTAGGGAACTTCAAGAAAAGAGCCTACTCCTTTTAAAAGGCCGGCAACGCATCTGCAATTCCCCTGGTTCCCCTGATGTTTCAGTTGTACATGAGCGGCGGTAATTACTTACCATCAGGTTGGCCGCATGCTCGTTTGCCCCCTCTCCTATAAAAAAATATATGAAAGAAATTGAACATTTGATCAAAAAAAGTTTATTCAAAAATCTTATTAAGTGTTAGTAGTAAAGAAATAGGTCTAAGTTTGGCGGGGTCTAATGTACTACCAGATTTAAATAAAGGTATTACTTTACTATGCTTCATTAAATCAGGAATCGATACTTGTATTATAAATAATAGCTAAATGAGGCGCGATTGTATCTATTATGGACGCAAAAACTTTAACGGAAATCCCCCACAGATCCGCAAATTTTTTAACATCATTAGTTTTAAAATATTTTGCAATATGTTTTGATGATACTTTATTAAATGTAAAATTCTTTGTCCACGCATTTACATTTCGGCGATTCGGCGACGGCAGGAGAAGAATTCAGTGACTTTTTTTTATAGAATAGGGGGCAAACGAGCATGCGGCTCACCTGATGGTAGGTGACTACCGCCGCCCATGAACAACCGCAACAC